CACGGAGGAGAATGAGCTCGTGGGGATCGCAGGTGGATCTGGCCATTGAGTTTAAAGAGAGGCTTTCCCTCTCGTCTGAGCCCGAACAACCCAGGGGTCCTGGCCCGTCTTGGTCTGAGGATCAGAGATGGGGACAGAAGGCTAGTGTCGCGGCTCGCGCTCCTCCCCTGCCTGCGGGTAGGGGTAGGAGGAATCGCGGGTCAAAGAGAGATAGGCAAGACCTAAGGGATGTGATCCAGACGAGGCGTCAGCACTTTCATCCGGATCAGAGTGATACTTGAGTATCTACTCATTTTCCTCGGGGGGTTTAACATCTGCCCTTATCTTCCCCTTCCTAATCCCTCTGTAAGCACCATCTCTCCACCTGACCGAGGTTAGGTGGGAGAACCGGGTTCTCGACTTGCAGTGATTACCTCACTCGTCGATGTTGCATCCAGTCGGTATGATAGCCCTCGTTCCGGCTTCATGCTTCCTGGATCATGCGGCTAGATCACAGGCTTCTGCGGGAGCCTTCTTGATCATCAGGCCCCCGGCACAGCACTGCAAAATTTCCTGGACGTCCGGGCTGGGCTTATGCTTTCAGGCTGCCCTGTCTGGTACGCCATATCTAGGTCGCAGGGAACGAGACACTGCGTCCTCTAGGTTTCTTGCCATGCTGTGGACGCAAGCTTCAGATGAAGAAGTGAATGATGTGTGCTCCCGGCGCTTATTTATACTATAGTCGCACCGGTAGTGATGTCATGGGCTGTTGCCGGCCAACATGTTGTTGGTGTTTTTTGAATGTATGCGTCAGACACGGGTCACTACGAGGCGTCCCCATAGCGACACCTATAGGATGCAGTGTCTCGTTCCCTACTCAGGGAACCATGGTTACATAAGTAACCTGAGACGTTTTGTAAGCCTTTCTCTGCAAGCATGTGAGAAAATGAGCCGATCAGATTTCTCTCCCCTTCTGATGTAGGAAGGGGTTCTTAAAGCGACAGCGGTGTACTTGTTCTGATGCCATGGCAAAAGTTTGCGGAAAACATGCTAAATGTTCTGTCGTTGGCTGCACAGACAAACACAAATCATTATTTAGAGTCCCAGCCTCAGAGGAGAAAAGAGAGGAGTGGATTTTTTTTTTTTTTGTGGAAATCCCAGAAGGAGGGTGGGGTGTACAGTAACTCATTATCATTTAAAGAGACATACACCAAAACGGGTTGTGTGAGCAGAGCCGTTTCTGACAAGGCAAAAAGGGTGTTGTTTACACAGCCATTGAGTGTTTTTAAGCAAAATATGTTACAGACATTTAATGAAGAGCCTAATAAATCATGCCAACTTGTGGAAAATGTTCATCCGATGAGCCCTTTAAACACAGAAAGCAATTTAAACCGAAAGCGTCAGATTCAATTTGACCCCCTCCAACCCCCCAAAATGCATAGGTTTTAACTATTAGATGCAGAGTTGAACCATCACCGGTGTATTTAGAACATTCGCTGCTAAATTCAAACGCTTTGTCTGGCGCTATACAGTGTTTTCAACCACATAAAATGTATTTTAACGATAATATATAGATAACGATAACAAAATGATAAAAATAGCTACAACAATACCTATAACAATAGCTGTAATAAAAAAAATAATAAAACAGGCCTACCGATAACGCTAATTATAACAATATCTACAACAACAACTATAATGATAACTATAGTGATAAACATAACGATAAATATAATTGATAAGTTTGGTGTCTGTGTTGGTACCGTAGGAGCAGAGCGGTGCGTCCGGTGAGCTGGTGGAGGTGCGCAGCAGCGCCCTCATCAGGCCGCCGTCGTTCATGTTCAGCTGAGGCAGAGAGATGGCGTTTTTAATGATGGGCGAGATGGGCGGCGGAGGGGACGAGAAGTCACGTGACCCTCCTCTCAGCCGGGGCAGAGGAGTCTTTCTCACATGCTGCAGTGTTCGTGACAAAAAGCTCGTCGGTTTGGAGCCGGGGGGCGAATCCGGGTACCGTATCCCATCGCTGTTACTTGATCCGCCGTAGTTGCTCAGAAACGAAGTGTCACCGAAGACGTCCCCGCCACGGCCCACGTGCATGGTGTGGCGGAAGTCGCCGAGCGGCGGACTGATCATGTCCACCGACAGGTCGCTCTTAAACCGCCGTTTGCCGTGAGACGTGGACACCAGGCCTTTGATCGCCGGCAGCTTTCCCAGACTCATGACGAGAAATATGACTTAAATGATTCTTAACACCAAAGCCAAAAAGTCTGTCAGAAATATAAGTTGATGATGATGTGCTCCTCAAATTTAAACAGATGCCAGATGTAACTGCAGCAGAATAAATAGTACATTAATGTCAAATAATCATTAAAATATCACAAAAAAGTCACGTGGAAAAAAATTGCTTTTAAAAAAAATGCTAGTTTAACAAAGTGATTAAATACCCAGAAAAATGAAGTATAATAAATGCTAAATTAATGTAAAATAATTCTTAAAACAGATCCAGAGAGAGAAAAAATGGTGGAAAAATACTAAAAAAGGTTAATGTTAGTTTTACGAAGCAATCAATCAACCAGGTAAATCCATTTGAGTAAATGCTAATGTCAAATAATCATTAAAAGATATCTAGAGAAAGAAAAATTTGTCGAAAAATACTTTAAAAAAAATACTGATTCTACCTAAACGAAGCAATCAAACACCCAGATAAATACAGCTAAATAAATGCTAACTTAACTTCAAATAATCATTTGAATAGATCCAAAGAGAGAAAAATGGCAGAAAAACATGTCAGAAAAAGTATAAATGTAAATATAAAGACATTAATTTAAACAGTATTTTAAGCTAATTGCTAATAAGTGTTTTTCTGTGATCTGATCAGATTCACTTTAGAATGAGCAGCAAAACCACAAAAAACTCTCACTTTGATTATAATATCCTGTAATCCAAAATTAAAAATATCCAAAAATGTAATTGAAGACCGTTTTAAAGAGCATCATTGTGACAAAATCTCTACTAAATCTACTAATGAATACTAACTACAATTACACAAATGCTTTTAAGTGTTCACACGTCTCGTCTGTAATATATGAGCTCCGTCGGTTTGTGAGCTGCTGCCCATCCCGAGCCGGAGTTTAAAAATAACCTGTTAAAGAAGCCTAATAGGATTTACGAAGAATTTAAACACCTTCTAGTGAATGCAAAAACCCTACACTCTCTCTGACAGTAGAAAAAAATGATGTTTCTTGCACAAAATGACTTTAAAAACCATCTAACGTGTCACCATGCTTTTAAAAGAATCACTGAATCTCTCTTTAAACAACATTTAGAGACACGTTCAGATTTACATCAAGCAGAACTTCTACCAAACATCTGTTTCACACCATCACGTCTTTTATATCTCCTTTAAAACTGCATCTGAGTGCATGTCCACCAATATCTACAACAACAACTATAATGATAACTATAGTGATAAACATAACGATAAATATAATTGATAAGTTTGGTGTCTGTGTTGGTACCGTAGGAGCAGAGCGGTGCGTCCGGTGAGCTGGTGGAGGTGCGCAGCAGCGCCCTCATCAGGCCGCCGTCGTTCATGTTCAGCTGAGGCAGAGAGATGGCGTTTTTAATGATGGGCGAGATGGGCGGCGGAGGGGACGAGAAGTCACGTGACCCTCCTCTCAGCCGGGGCAGAGGAGTCTTTCTCACATGCTGCAGTGTTCGTGACAAAAAGCTCGTCGGTTTGGAGCCGGGGGGCGAATCCGGGTACCGTATCCCATCGCTGTTACTTGATCCGCCGTAGTTGCTCAGAAACGAAGTGTCACCGAAGACGTCCCCGCCACGGCCCACGTGCATGGTGTGGCGGAAGTCGCCGAGCGGCGGACTGATCATGTCCACCGACAGGTCGCTCTTAAACCGCCGTTTGCCGTGAGACGTGGACACCAGGCCTTTGATCGCCGGCAGCTTTCCCAGACTCATGACGAGAAATATGACTTAAATGATTCTTAACACCAAAGCCAAAAAGTCTGTCAGAAATATAAGTTGATGATGATGTGCTCCTCAAATTTAAACAGATGCCAGATGTAACTGCAGCAGAATAAATAGTACATTAATGTCAAATAATCATTAAAATATCACAAAAAAGTCACGTGGAAAAAAATTGCTTTTAAAAAAAATGCTAGTTTAACAAAGTGATTAAATACCCAGAAAAATGAAGTATAATAAATGCTAAATTAATGTAAAATAATTCTTAAAACAGATCCAGAGAGAGAAAAAATGGTGGAAAAATACTAAAAAAGGTTAATGTTAGTTTTACGAAGCAATCAATCAACCAGGTAAATCCATTTGAGTAAATGCTAATGTCAAATAATCATTAAAAGATATCTAGAGAAAGAAAAATTTGTCGAAAAATACTTTAAAAAAAATACTGATTCTACCTAAACGAAGCAATCAAACACCCAGATAAATACAGCTAAATAAATGCTAACTTAACTTCAAATAATCATTTGAATAGATCCAAAGAGAGAAAAATGGCAGAAAAACATGTCAGAAAAAGTATAAATGTAAATATAAAGACATTAATTTAAACAGTATTTTAAGCTAATTGCTAATAAGTGTTTTTCTGTGATCTGATCAGATTCACTTTAGAATGAGCAGCAAAACCACAAAAAACTCTCACTTTGATTATAATATCCTGTAATCCAAAATTAAAAATATCCAAAAATGTAATTGAAGACCGTTTTAAAGAGCATCATTGTGACAAAATCTCTACTAAATCTACTAATGAATACTAACTACAATTACACAAATGCTTTTAAGTGTTCACACGTCTCGTCTGTAATATATGAGCTCCGTCGGTTTGTGAGCTGCTGCCCATCCCGAGCCGGAGTTTAAAAATAACCTGTTAAAGAAGCCTAATAGGATTTACGAAGAATTTAAACACCTTCTAGTGAATGCAAAAACCCTACACTCTCTCTGACAGTAGAAAAAAATGATGTTTCTTGCACAAAATGACTTTAAAAACCATCTAACGTGTCACCATGCTTTTAAAAGAATCACTGAATCTCTCTTTAAACAACATTTAGAGACTTTTTACATCAAGCAGAACTTCTACCAAACATCTGTTTCACACCATCACGTCTTTTATATCTCCTTTAAAACTGCATCTGAGTGCATGTCCACACCAAAGTTGAACACTGTTTCTCCAGAAAAGTGACGTTTTGTAAGATGAATGACATCCAGCGCTGTCCTTTTCCTTCAGCTTTGTCACGACACACCTGACGTCCACCAGCGCTCTGATCTGTTATTTTAGTGTTTACGAATCCCACTGCAGGCCTTCAGCGTCCCAGGATCCCCCAAAACAGTCTGTCTAAAGCGCATCAGACGCGCATATGATCCGCTGTGTTTTGTCTGTGGCTCAGAGGAGTCTGAACGGCTGGGATTGGCCTGGATTAGCTGGATTATTCGTCCTCGCTCTCTCACTCACTTCTTTTATTCTTTCTCTCGCCGGACCGTCTCAATCCATTTAGCCGCACGTCAGTCAGTATTTTCCTTTCACACCGTGACACGCGTCCTGAGAAAGAGAGAGTCGACACCAGATGACTAGAGCAATGTCATGTCATCTTTATACAGTAATGATGATCATCACCTCTGTTCAGTGCCTTCATAAAACCAGATCACATGAAAGAATGATACTGAGAGACATTAAAATAAAAAAATATATAAACAATTTAAGATTTTTTTTTTTTGACAATTTTTGTGACATTATTTTTGTGGCAAGTAGGCACATTTCCCCCTAATTTTCAGATTAATTTCATAATACATGCATACATATGGTATATAGTATGTATGCATATGGTAGTATTTCTTTTACCTATATGCTGATTTAATTGTAAAAACTTAAATTTACATTATATATATATATATATATATATATATATTCTTTTTTTTTAAATGATCAATTATTATAAGAGAAACATAATTAAAAACACAACTGAGAGTAATTACAAAAGATAAAATAAAATATTCAGAGATATTATAATAATGTGAAACATGCTTAATCATCATGAAACTACAGATTAAAGTTTATCCTGACAGACACACTCATTTAG